TGTTAATTATTATTATTATTATTATATATGTATTAAAAGGTGAGTGAAAACCCATCTGGTGACTTCAAAGCAATGTACAGACACGTATCGAAAGGAAGCTGGACATTTTCTATGCATGATCAAGGTTGGCAAGTCTCCGACTGCACCGCAGAAGGACTCAAGGCAAGATTCACCAAAATCAATCCATCCATCCATAGACATAGACATAGACATAGACATACACATGAATAATAATATAATCGTATACTATATTTATGTATATAGGCTGCACTCCTTCTGTCAGAAATGCCAACTGATCTAGTTGGGGACCAAATGGAAACACAGCGATTTTTTGATGCTGTTAATGTCATCCTCTCTCTACAGAGCAGTAATGGCGGTTTCCCTGCATGGGAACCTCAAAGAGCCTATCGTTGGTTAGAGGTAAGAAAATACAGTAATGTCGGTTTTTTCCATTGACCGAGTCCCGACTTGTATCTTATGCTAAGTGTGTGTGTGCTGCAGAAATTCAACCCAACTGAATTCTTTGAAGACACTCTGATTGAGACGGAGTAAGATTTTACAATATCTGACCACATGAATTAACAAACAAATTGCACTCACTAGCTTACTATCTTCCACAGGTATGTGGAATGCAGTGGATCAGCAGTGCAGGGCCTGGCTCTCTTCAGAAAGCTATACCCAAAGCACAGGAGAAGGGAAATAGATAGCAGTATTTCGAAAGCAATCGATTTCATTGAAAGGAAGCAAAATCCTGATGGGTCGTGGTACGGTTGTTGGGGTATTTGCTATACATATGGTACCTGGTTCGCTGTAGAGGGACTAAGAGCCTATGGAAAGAACTACCATAACAGCCCTTCCCTACGCAAGGCTTGTCAATTTTTGTTGTCAAAGCAGCTTTCTAATGGTGGATGGGGAGAGAGTTATTTGTCCAGCCAAAACAAGGTGTGTGTGTGTATAGATATACGTTCACCCATTTAGCTTTCAATACGTACATAGTAAAGTAAACTAATTCGAGCATGATTAAGAATTATAAAGACTCAGCTTTTTTCTGTCATTTAGGTTTATACAAACATAGAAGGCAACCGTTCAAACTTAGTTCAAACTTCGTGGGCTCTGTTGTCCCTTATACATGCAGGACAGGTTAGTAATAAAGTACTAAAAGACATTCATATTCCAAAGAATTAGTACAAGAGTTCTGAATTGTGCTAATTGTGAATTATTTGCTGAATAAAGGCTGAGATAGATCCGACACCCATACATCGTGGAATAAAGTTACTTATCAATTCACAAATGGAAGATGGAGATTTCCCACAGCAGGTAACTGCTTTCATATTATACCTAACAAATTTTTACACCCAACAAAATTTTATACAGACTTTACCCTTCAATTTTTCTTTTTTTTTTTTTTACAAATACAAAAGTTAATTTTTTTTAATAACTAAAATATACCTAAAAATAAGTTTCTTCAGTATCTAGTGCCAAAAAAACATTTTTCTTCCTACTAAAAAATAATAGAAATTTAAGAAAAAAGTTTTTTGGACACTATTTGAATATCTCAATTTTTATAAGAATAAAATAGTCTTAACAAAAGTTAACTTTTATATTTAAAAAAA